GTAATAAAAAGCACCCACTGCTAATTTCTAAGCACGTCACACTCATCGCTTTCACATGGCAATGTCCTCTTTTAGACCATATCCTGTGGCGTTGGTAGCCATGTTATTCACAACCTTCCGGCTTGTGTACTTTAAATCATTTCTAACACACATGATCGTACATATTCCCTACCATGTGGCGTTGGTAGTCATGTATATTCACAATCTTCTCTCTCATTTACTTTCATTCAATTATAACACAGATGATCTTCCATGCCATGATGTCTAAATGTTCATCATGTTTTCTCCTTGTCTCCCTCCACCTCTTTTCCCTCCAACTTTTCCACCGTTACCATGTACTCCCGGTTCCTTGTTTGCATGGCACAACTTTACAATGTATACTGCCCCCTGATGTGAGCAATCAGTTTTCTGAGCGAGTAGGTTCTTGTCAAAATATCTTCATTATTACTCTCTTTATGTGTCCAGAGGATTCTCATCAGTCGTCTTTACAACTCCATCTCCATCGCTTTCCAAAATATGTCATTTCCTATATCAGGATAGGATTTATCTCGCTCTTGAAAATTCTCTTTCTCGTTCTCGAATGACGAAGAAAAATTGCATATAATTTTCTACATTTTCTCAAAAGCTGCCTCTGCTAGAGCTATTTTACATTTAATTTCTGTAGCAACGCTGCTTTCAGGGTACCCAAATACTTAAAAGCATTACCGTACTGGATGTCTCGTTGCATTTATTATAATTTAGCTAAGCTTCTTTTGCTGCATGAAATGTGTGTATTATTTCTCTATTTATTTGTTTATATTAATCTATATATGATGTCAAATTTAACGTGCCACCTATTTCTTCTTCACGGTATTCTTAACTTCTGCTATCATGTGAATATCTCTCATTTATTACGTGACAAAAATCTCCTTCTTCTTATTCTTCTTTTTTATTCTTCTTCTTACTTCTTCTTCTTCTTCTTCTTCTTCTTCTTCTTCTTCTTCTTCTTCTTCTTCTTCTTCTTCTTCTTCTTCTTCTTCTTCTTCTTCTTTCTTTTTCTTCTTCTTCTTCTTCTTCTTCTTCTTCTTCTTCTTCTTCTTCTTCTTCTTCTTCTTCTTCTTCTTCTTCTTCTTCTTCTTCTTCTTCTTCTTCTTCTTCTTCTTCTTCTTCTTCTTCTTCTTCTTTTTCTTCTTCTTCTTCTTCTTCTTCTTCTTCTTCTTCTTCTTCTTCTTCTTCGTCTTCTTCGTCTTCTTCTTCTTCTTCTTATTTTTCTTCTTCTTCTTCTTCTTCTTCTTCTTCTTCTTCTTCTTCTTCTTCTTCTTCTTCTTCTTCTTCTTCTTCTTCTTCTTCTTCTTCTTCTTCTTCTTCTTCTTCTTCTTCTTCTTCTTCTTCTTCCTCTTTCTTCTTCTTCTTCTATTTCTCTTCTTCTTCTTCTTCTTCTTCTTCTTCTTCTCTCTTCTTCTTCTTCTTCTTCTTCTTCTTCTTCTTCTTCTTCTTCTTCTTCTTCTTCTTCTTCTTCTTCTTCTTCTTCTTCTTCTTCTTCTTCTTCTTCTTCTTCTTCTTCTTTCTTTTTTTTTCTTCTTCTTCTTCTTCTTCTTCTTCTTCTTCTTCTTCTTCTTCTTCTTCTTCTTCTTCTTCTTCTTCTTCTTCTTCTTCTTCTTCTTCTTCTTCTTTTTCTTCTTCTTCTTCTTCTTCTTCTCCTCCTCCTCTTCCTCCTCCTCCACTTTGTATCTCAGCGAAATGTCGGGAGAAGATGTAAAGTTTTTTAATTAGCTCTTGAAATGGCACTAATAAGATTGATGTTCATTTCTGTAAGGATGTTCTTTATGCTATCACTCCATCTTTTACGTTACAACAATAGTCCTGGCAATCCTTGTTTTGAGAGATGGAGCTTTTATGTCCTGTCCGGGTCCCTAGACCCCTTTAGCATCATATCACAAATGTGAATAAATAATATTTTTGATAAGCACTTAAGCAAGGCTTAAGACCCTTAGGGTGCCCCAGCTCAAAAAGAGACTTTCCAATGGAGCCGGATCCCATCAATGTTTTCTTTGCTTAGGCCTCCCTTCCCCGTCACCACCATGACAGTGAGACTCTTTTTTGTTTTAACTTAAGAACGGACACCAAGTCTTTGGGGCATCATTCGTCCCCCATTTTGGAGACAGCCAGCCAGCCTTCCCCCTGGGCATGAAGTGTCGTACCTTTCAAGTGGTCACTCCCATTTGCATCATTTTCTCCAAACTGACATGATTCACTCCGTTCTCCGCATGACGTGCTCCTAAATTGCCTTGATTGATCAACCGTGTCATACTTCAGTTCACCAGCAACTGGTCCAGACCCAGGCAATTAGTCTTCTTGTTAGTTCCTAGAATTGCCCTCCGGAAAAGATCCAAAGGTTCATAAATGAGATAATTTTACAAACAACAACTAGCACTGACATAAGCTAATACCAGATAGTAAGATTAGAGGACACACTGAGCAGTATATTGAGAACTGTGGGTTTTCAAAACAATATTTTTCCTGGAATGCATTTAAACAAAAAATTTAAACTAGGTGGTATTTTGTAGAAACAAGCACAATTTAAAATGGAGGAAAGAGGGTATTGCACAATTTATGGTTCGGGATATTTTTGCTTCTCTTGTCAAACCCATCATTATATAAACAAATGAATCACTTAAGCTATCTTAATCTTTAACTGTGGGACTTACAGGAGACAATGTGATTTAGACATTGTGATTTAGACAATGTGATTTAGACAATGTGATTTAGACAATGTGATTTAGACAATGGGATTTAGACAATGTGATTTAGACAATGTGATTTAGACAATGTGATTCGGTTATTTCATCTAAAAGATATGTTGTGTGCTTTATTACATGATGATGTAAACTATACAGTATTGCATTTGACGAGATACTGTGTAATTTACCAGGCAATAACCCGTGCAATGTATAGTTTGTTTCATAATTATTTCAAGCGCTTCATTTTCTGTGAGTGATGTGAATGTTACTGGTTTAAAAAAAAAATTAATTTTAATTTCCTTATTCCTGTTTCGATGTGCCTTATTTGCAATATTGTTTTTTATTTTTCCTTTAAAATTTTGTAAGATGTAGAATATATAAACATATATACATACACACACACACACACACACACACACACACACACACACACACATATATATATATATATATATATATATATATATATATATATATATATATATATATACACACACACAAATACAAATCTGTCACTGCAATTTTTCTGTCTCGGTTTAGCTGAGTTACGAACCAGAATCGCAGCAGTGAAGATTTTCCAATAACCGCTCAGTCCATAACTTTAGCAGCCATCTCAGTAGCAGTCTGTATGTTCCTGTTGTCTTTCCCCATTGTGTAGAGTGTTGCAAGATCTTCTGGTCACTCCCAGCTGCACCCATTCTTTTCAGATCGTAATGATCTATTGATGCAATAAATAGTTCTTGACTTTTTGTTTTAAAAAGACATAATACGTAGCATATTGCTACCATCACTACGCTATCAGTGTGGAAACTGGACGCTACCACAATTCACCTACATAAATTGTACACGTCAGATCAAATGTCCTAAACAGCTGCCAAAATTAAGCGTTCCGGACCCCACGAGTAGTAGCGACACTGTCAAACTGTAAGATCAACACATGTACCACATACATTACAAATAGAAGATTAAAGCTGATTGGGTCACAAGGGAATACATATAAAAACTGAGGAAGCCTTATTCCTAACGTGTGAGAACCTTCTTATGGATACTTTTTTTTTAAACCCATGGAAAAGGGACGGGGGTGGGGGGGGGGGGATATGAGGTCAACTGCAACCTGATTAAAAGTCAGCCTTCGTTTATCCTCTCATTAATGTATATCTTCCAGAACCTATGTACCCAGCATCGAGCGCCCTTTTTTCTTTCCTCCCCGAGGAATTAGCTTTGCAAGGTGCGGATACTCTGTTACGTTGTTGTGTCCACTTGATCGCAGAGGGCCTTTTCTACTACCTTTATCATGAAGTAGCTCATCGCTCATAGCGCATCACTCCGCACACCCGAATATACAAAGTTAAGTAAATGACACTTTCCACGCCTTTAGGCGTATAGGGCATATAGGACTAGACCTATATTTTTATAGACCAACGGCACAAGATGGGTGATGTGGTCAGCATCACGCCGGCCGCCTCTACTTCCCGGGATTGCACCCGGTACCCACTCAAGGCTGGGTCGACCTGGGAGCCAAGGTCATTTTTGAAGAAAAGTCCGTCTCCGTCAGGGAGCGAACCCACGACCTTCCGATCCGCGGCGCGCGTCTAGCCGCTCTGCCACGGCGACTCGCTACACCCGAATATACTGGTCAGAAAATCCACGATATGCTCCTGACCTGTGTCGTGGCAAGCGATGCAAGTCACTCTTCACGTAGTACGCCAGTTTCTATTTGTTATTTTATTAGAAACGTTGCAGTGTACCAACTATGTTTGGGAACACCTGCAAACTTTAGAGGATAGTTATTTTATAATACAAAAACTATTCTCTTGTTCTACTTCTTTAATCCTGCATTCTTGAGTGCCAGTCAGCATAGTTTGTTTACCACACTTGTTTATCATATGTTTCTATTCATGTGAATGTTATGTTCACGTTATCTACTTTTTGATAGCGTAGAACTATCAGTTACTCACGATGTGATTGCTGTTTCCAGTCAAATCAATTACTCACGATGTGATTGTTGTTTCCTGTCACATCAATTACTCACGATGTGATTGTTGATTCCTGTCACATCAATTGCTCACGATGTGATTGTTGTTTCCTGTCAAATCAATTACTCACGATGTGATTGTTGATTCCTGTCACATCAATTACTCACGATGTGATTGTTGATTCCTGTCACATCAATTACTCACGATGTGATTGTTGTTTCCTGTCACATCAATTACTCACGATGTGATTGTTGTTTCCTGTCACATGAGTTACTCACAATGTGATTGTTTTTTTCTCCCGCAGTTCCTCATTTGCAGCCTTTCATTCATCACTTTCTCCGTTGAAAAAGATCTGCCCCAGAATCGCCTACAGTTGTCCTTCACCCTGGTGCTGACCGCCGTTGCTTTCAAGTCAGTGGTCAACCAGAGTTTGCCGAGAATATCATATTTAACATACATGGTAAGTCAAGGTTTCATTCAGAATATCATTTTTAACATATATGGTGTCAAGGGTTCATTCAGAATATCACATTTAACATAAGTATAAGTTATTGATCATTCAGAATATCATATTAATATTTACGGTAAGTTAGTGGTCACCTGAAGTTTGCCGAGAATATCATATTTAACATATATGGTAAGTCAAAGGGATAATTCAGAATATCATATTATTATATATGGTAAGTTAGTGGTCACCCTGAGTTTGCAGATGATATCATATTTAAAATACACTGCAGGTCAGCGATCATTCAGATATCACATTTAACATAGAGCAGTTTTTCCAAAATTTACCGAGGCGCCTTTTTTTAATCCAAAATTTTCCACGACGCCCTAATTTAAGGAAAAATATGACTATTCGTATGTGAGAGATTTAAATACACATGTAACTCGTGTATCTTCGAATTATTTCGCGGCGCCCTATGACGAAGTCGCGGCTCCAGAGGGTGCCACGGCGCACAGTTTGAGAATCACTGAAATAGAGGTTAGTCAGTGCTTAAGCAATCAGTCAGCGCTCCCGAGGGTGCCACGGCGCACAGTTTGAGAATCACTGATATAGAGGCTAGTCAGTGCTTAAGCAATCAGTCAGCGCTCCCGAGGGTGCCACGGCGCACAGTTTGAGAATCACCGATATAGAGGCTAGTCAGTGCTTAAGCAATTAGTCAGCGCTCCCGAGGGTGCCACGGCGCACAGTTTGAGAATCACTGATATAGAGGCTAGTCAGTGCTTAAGCAATCAGTCAGCGCTCCCGAGGGTGCCACGGCGCACAGTTTGAGAATCACCGATATAGAGGCTAGTCAGTGCTTAAGCAATCAGTCAGCACGTCCTATTGATAACGTTGCTTTTTTCACGGTATATCTGAAAGTCTATTTCTCTTTCTCTTGCCAGTTCTCTAGTTCTGTGAGCTTTTACAGCCATTACATCTTCTGTTGTATGTGTCCATCTAGGCGGTGGTCGACCTCTGTCTAGTTTCCCGTATTCAACTAGAACAAAATTAGATAAGTTCGCCAAGTGTTAGACTATGGTAAATCAGCACTGGGAAGAAGTATGTAAGCTAGGTTAAAATGCAAAAGTGCAAAACCTAAACCTTTTTCCCATAACTATGGTCTACGCTCAAAACCAGTTACACTGAAGGAAACAAAGTCAGATAAAAAAAAAAATCTCAGCCAGTCTCTAAATTCGCTGCATTAGAAAAACAAACAAGGGACTATGTAAAAAAAAAAGATTTCCCGCTTGAAAAGAATTAATTTCATCTAGACAGCCAAAAAATTACAAACAAAATATGAGCTTGAATGCTCGAGTCTGTACAGAACCGGGTTTTTTTTTTTTTCTCCCATATTTTCATAAATGACTTGAGCTCCACATTTGACCCATCCTTAAATGAGTACCAGGTAATGACCTGGAAAGTAAAGGCGGTCGGTATGATGTTGATAACTTTACCCGCCAATTGCCGATTGATCTATAAATACAATTCTAGCGCTACATGACCAACACGCCCGAAGGCGAGGAAACGGGTACTTTAATTTACGATAATTGTTCGGAATGCCCATCGAGGAATTTCAAGTACTTCCACAGATCAGATGCCCCATACATATCACTTCGACAAAAAGAGAACAGATTCCCTTCAAATAAATATAGAGTCACTAGTTAGATGTTAGAATTGAAGTATCCCAAAAACAGATGCTTATGACTATTCACGGATGACTCTGCAATCAGTGGAAGCTGTAAGGGTTGGAAGACGAATCCAAATTTAATAGACCAATGGTGCTACGAAAAAACGCAGTAATGCAGTCTTCCTAAGAAAAAAACATTCCAGTTACAAAGCGGAGGCAAAGGCGAACGAGGGAAGCAGTATCCTTAATATTCAATTAATGCAACTTTGAATCACAAGAACTTCTATTGACGGATGCTCGCTTATTATTTCCAGCAATAAGAAACAACGAGTAACGACAGTTTAATCAGATTTGACCTCTGCTGAATCAGACGGGTCAGTTGACATAGCTGATGTTTCTGCATTGGTTCCTAGGCCACGTCATCATTACGATAAATAAAATAGCAGACTACTTAGCAAACATTTTAAACAATACAGAACAACCATTTACAGGATGCACTCGAGATGAAAAAAAAAAAAAGAGAACACACAGATCAAGATACCCTAACTGTAACCCACTTGAACATTTCTTACCCAGAAGACCCAGTCAGCTTTCTCATACGAAAGTAACAGACAATTGTATTTAGTTCGCGAACTGCACACAGCATACTCTACTGCCATATGTGAACGAATTGTAAGACTGGGAGCTCAGAACATAGTCTATTTGGACAGGCACTGACACCTTGCTGCAGATACGCTCTCTTTATATCCTAGAGAGTCTGATCCGTTGCCATTCAGGTTGAAACCAAACTGTTTGGATCACAAAAGGACATAGGATGTACCACAGCTTTCATAGAGGACGGTGGCCTTCATATCTAAAACCACAGACGGAGAGGACGAAAAGAAGAAGAAGACATGTATAGAAAGTCAGTGGTAATTCATAAACTCAAATTGACATACAAGGTTAGTCTGTGGTCAGCCAGAGTTTATCTATTCTTCTACGTCATCGTCTTCTTAGCGTTCGCCGGGAGTAAACTCCGGTAGAAAGTTTCAGTATCAGTATGAGAACATGTTTAATACATGATATGTTTTAGTGTGTGCCTAACGACACACACACGCACACATATTTATAAATTGTAAAATAATGTGAAATGCAATATAATAAATTAAAATCAATATTTAGTACATAAACAAATGCTTGAAAAGAGAACATCAGTATGTGGTGGGGAACGCTACTTTCTAAATATTAATGGGTGGCGGAAGATCAAGAGGGCTGAGTTTCCAGGTACCGGCTCCTTTGTAGATTATTATTATTCTCTGCATTACAATTAGCGCTCACTGCCTCATTTTATTAGTCGCCGCCCCAGTGTGGCCTTTACGGCTGTTCAATACATCTACAGTGAACTAAACAAACATAAATGCTTCCGCTAAATTAACTGAATTAACAGTACAAGATCTGCGACTGTTGCTATTACATTTTATAACAATACATTCATAATCACAGTAGGAAAACAAGAGTGTTTCATCGGTTTATATGGCTTCAGTGAACGGGTTAAACTAGAACATAACCCACGGTATATTTTACCCTTTTATAACATACGCACAAACACACATCACACACACACAGGCACACAAACTTGTATGAATGGTGTCTAATGTCGTCATCACACTCGGAAGGTACTGGTTAGTTGCGTATCCTTAACAGGACGTTACAGAACCAACCCCAACAACCTCTGGCTGTTGTGTGGTTTTTCTAGGCAAATTTACATCTAGTATTTCGGATGGTATTGCAGGGATCAAATTCCTGCCACCGTAGACACGGATGTAAGGGAACTAATTGATCAGCTTTCAGACCCAAAATATATCATTACTTTCACAGATGGATCCGTGAAGCGCGGGTCAAAATCAGCATGGGCATACACAGCCCAAAAAATGGGGAAAACAATATAGGAGGACAGCGGCGCTTACCTGACAACCACGTCAAGCAATAGCATGGGTATCCGGGCAAACCGCCACACAGGCTGTTATTGTATCAGACTCCATGAACATGCTCCAGAAGATAGCAACAGGTCGTATGCGCTCTGAATGGGTAGAAAGCATTCCAAAATCGCGCTTAACCTCCCTCACTTGGATCTACACACCTGGTATGCGGGCGTAAAGGGAAATGAGCGAGCGGACCACCCGGCAAGCACTGCACTAAGGCATGTGGGAAAAAGCATGGACACAGCATATGTTGTCAACGTTGTACGGACTAGGCTAGTGGATAATGAGGACTCCCTGACACTAGCACGATTGCGTGATATGGGAGTAAAGCATGGCGAAGCACGTCTATGCCGTCTTTGATGCCGAAATAGGAGACCATATAACCAACTTCTCATGTGAACAATTAGCAGAAGTAATTTGAAGTGGCTGCTGCATCGGAGGACTGAGCACGCATGGAAATGCCCAATGTGCAGTGACGTCGATTGTGATAACATAAAATAACATTATATGATTGATTGCTATAGACAATCTCGTCGATCATTTGAGCGTACTTCGGGATGCATCTCGATTTATGGCTAATGTAATGACAGGATATAATCAGAGTGAACCCTGAGCTGACTACAGGAGCCGTGAACATGTATTGATTGTCAAGCTTGCTAATTATGTCAGGGGCACTGCGGAATGCGGTGCCGGCTGCAGATTAGAAGGTATTTGGTTCAAATCCCCATGGAGGCATATTTCACTTTCTTTTAAAACCAATAATTCACATGTTTCCAGAACACAAGTAATGGTAATTACTCACACAAAAAAAGGACTTTCCAAAGTACAGTTGGAAAGTTGATAGGACATTACTCAAGCAACTTGATTTGTTTAAGTTCTTCGGTACACAGACAATATCAGATGGAAGATGTAATAAAAACATGAAATATAGAATAGCTAAAGCGAAGGCAGAATATTCCCAAGAACTACATAAATTCTATACTTATATACGGAAGTGGATCATGGATAATTAGCCGATTAGTGAAACAAAGAATAATGAAGGTGTCTAGGCAGAAACGTCTCACACACTAACACACACACACACACACACACAAAACTAATTGCCAACATCAGAAGTAGAAATTGTACATTATTTATTCATGTGATGAGAAGGAGAAAACTGGAGTACATTTTTACAGGGGAAAGTTGGAGGGTAAGAGAAGCAGAGGGAGACCGACAGAAAAGAGGCTGGACAGCTTGATATGATGGCATGGGGGAGCATCTGTGTCAGAGTTGATTGAATGTACACGAGACATAAAGTTGCGGATAGACATGACTATCAACCTCACATCGCATGGACATTAGGAAGAAGCTCCTGTCACATATCACTCCTGTCACGTGCCTGATTTAAGGATTTCTCCTGAAGAACCGTGTCATCATAGGAATCTAGGGAGCTGTGGGGAGTAGAGCATGATAATAACACAAAAACTGGCACTTATCAGAGTTCTATTGTTGATGCTCCCCTCAGTCCATGGTCATTTGACTGTAGTTGACTCTGGTAGTTCTGCTTCATGTGAAACTGGTTATAGAGGAGTACCTCACCATCGAGGACACAGGAACTGTATAGGGACTCAGCAAGTCTCTCCCACAGGTCAGGTCACAACTCTGTCTCTGAGCTCCACCAAGCCCCTGAAGACTGGTACACTCGAGTATGGATATCTCTCTGCAAATGTTCACCTGCTCTGGAGTTCACTCACCGCTCTCTGGCCATGTTAAGGTGATGGTTGTATATGGCACAACCGGATGATGCCAGATACATTCAAAGGTGTTAGCTAGTGGATAGTTGGTTAGTGGATGTTGGTAGGACTGCGAATAATCTGCCAGCTCTTTACAGAGGTTTCATCCCAAGCATAGGAAATGTCCTAGAGACTACAGGCCGCCTTCTCAAAGAAAGAATGTTAGGCGTCGATGAATACATCTGGTCTCAAGGAAAGCCCGCACAAAATCAAGCTTGGCGTCGGTAAGAAGAAGTTCCTTGTACACATGAGCAAGGAGTAAACCGGTTTCCAGGAATAGTCAATTAAAATCCTAGAAATAGTTAACCTACAGTTGCAAATTTGAAAAAGACGATAAGTCAAGGCAACTAGAAGGTGTAGACATCATTATTTTATCCGATAAAGGTATAGATCAATATAAGGGACTATATACCTTTCCGGAGTTTGAAAGTTTTTGTCGAGCGGGGTAATACAAGTCCCGACTCGTCTAAGATTATGTGTAGTGGCGTGTCATTCCTTGACAGCTCAGATGTTGACCCTGCTAAAACTTTCGCTGTATTCCCCTTGTTTTTGTTTCATTTAGAAATAACAACAAAGTTTTTGAGTCTAGTAATCAATTACTGACCAAAATTCGGTCGGACGGAATGAGATATGTATGAAAATTTTGAGAATATTGTGGACAGAGAAAACAATAAATAATACAGTTTACTGAATTGTAAAAAAAAAATTTGTAACCATGGAAATGAGGTGTCTGAGAAAGGCATTAGGAGTGACCAAAAGAGATAAAATTAGGAATGAGGTCATACTAGATAAAGTCGGTACAAAACCAATTCTAAATTACATAGCATAACAGCAAATCAAATGGTTTGCCCACTTAGAGAGAATGCCTTCTGATGCTTTACCATCCAAGGCATATACCAAAAGAGGAGAGGGACGTAGAGCAAAAGGTAGATAAAGAACAAGAAGGAAGGATAACATCAGAGAAACTCTACAGTACCACGATGTATCTTTGGACGCCAGAAAAGCACGAAGCAGGACGTTATATCTTCCTCGACACCCGAAGCGGTAAAAGAGGACGTAAGACGAGGAAGACTGAATGGCATATTTCATTATATTTCGTCAGGCACACTACTGCAGATATTATATCGACATATAACATATCTCAAACCCAATTTAATCTTTTCAATTAAAATGCATAGATAACAAAGTCTCCTGTTACGCTGCACACCTCATCAAGGAAGTCTCGGATTAAACTTTTTTGTCATTTTGTTTTCACAATGGGAATCCCCTTTTCTAAATTCGGCTGAATCTGCAAATTTTCAAATGCGCTTGTTCAGTGATAAACAGCCCGTAAAATACAAGATTCATTAGTCAAATACTGGGATCTCTAGCATATTCCGTGAAACGAAAGATTTTGGCTCTGTCCTACTGATACACTAATATTTTCAAACATTTTATAACTGGAATCTTGCACTTGTATTTTGCAGGACAAGTACCTCTTAACGTCTATGATCATGATGTCTGCGATCTGTACTTGGCACGGGATTGTGACCACTATAAAAACAGACAGGCCATCCTTGGACTACATAGAACACATTGTACTGGGGGCTTTAGGCGTCATATACTTGGTTTATAACGTGGGCTTCTGTATAATGATCTACCTATTTGTGAGTACAGCTGTCATGTTTTTGCTGTACAATGTGGAAGAATATAATTGCTGCATTTAGTTAGCTAGTTAGTTAGCTAACTGGTTGATTAGTGAGTTTAGATATTCAGATAGTTGTATAATTAACAATAGCTAGTCGGTCACTTGGTTGTCTACTTAATAGTAAATAGCAGTTGGTTAACAACAATAGCTGATGACGATTGTTTTGTGGAAGTTTAAGAAAAAGAAGAAGATGATGATGATGATGATGATGTAGGAAGAGGACAAGGAGGACAGGAAGCAGAAGAAAAGAAAGAAGAGGGAGGGGAAAGTAGAGAAGGAGAAACAGAAAAAGAAGATAAACATGAAGAAGAAGGAGGAGGAGGAAGAAGAAGGAGGAAGAGGAAGAAGAAGAAGAAGAAGAAGAAGAAGAAGAAGAAGAAGAAGAAGAAGAAGAAGAAGAAGAAGAAAGAAAGAAAAAGGAAGAAGGAGGAGAAGAAGATGGAAGAGGGGGAGCAGGAGAAAGTAGATGACGAGGAGAAGAAGCAGAGGGAAAAAAACAAGAAGAATAAAATGATAATGATGATTTTGATGAAGTAGAAGAAGAAGCAGAAGGAGGAGGATGTGAAGAGGAGGAGAAAGAAAAAGAAGAAGAAGAAGAAGAAGAAGAAGAAGAAGAAGAAGAAGAAGAAGAAGAAGAAGAAGAAGAAGAAGAAGAAAAAAGAAGAAGAAGAAGAAGAAGGAGGAGGGGAGGAGGAGTAGGAGGAGGAGGTGAAGAAGAAGAAGAAGAAGAAGAGGAGGAGAAAAAGAAGAAGAAGAAGAAGAAGAAGAAGAAGAAGAAGAAGAAGAAGAAGAAGAAGAAGAAGAAGAAGAAGAAGAAGAAGAAGAAGAAGAAGAAGAAGAAGAAGAAGAAGAAGAAGAAGAAGAAGGATCATGAAGAAGAGGAGAAGAAGATGAAGATTAAGAATAGGAGATGAAAAAGAGATAAATGTAGCCACTAATTACTAATATCTTTCTGTACAGCCGTGTCGAAAACGAAGGATAATGGCACAAAAGGACAGAGAACATTACAAGGTCAGTTGATAGAAAAATTTCCTGAGAATGCGGTCTTTTTAATTTTTTTTTTAAATTTTGTGATTTACTTTTTTTTATATTGTACTGTAAACTGTACATATAAAATTGTTTTGTGTGAGACATGTCAAGTTAAAAACCTATACCGAGCTAGGATAGTAGAGCGCATTACCAAAGTAATTGTTGCATTCTTACAGTACCCTAACCAGAGCCATCTTTGGGGGTTGAATAGGGTATGTGATTTGTTCTTCTGTACTGGCATGCAGACCTCTAACTTGGTATTGGATTGTGCAACTAGCCGATTACCTCAGGCATCTTCTATCAGAGGTGCAAATTTTACACAGGATAACCTTTGATACTATCCCCATATTTCGCACTAATAGAGGGGCGGTGGGTCTATCTCTTCCCTACACCCCCCCCCCCCTCCCCCGCTCCAATTTTCAACAACACACACACTTAAATAAGACATCTGAACTCACACGGGGAATTCCTGAACTATTTTGCTGTTCTTCTGGAAAATGCTTGTCAAGATTTTCAAGTTTGCTTCTGACAAATAACATTTACTGTAATAATGTTTATTAAACGATTTTGATTTGGAAATATCTGCTTTTTTAAATCGGGTTTTATTCCATGTGGTTTTGTGACTCAGCTCCGGCTTTCCAGATACCAGTGTTATTGTGTACTATTATGCTGCATAGTGATCACTTACCATAGTAATAGCAAGCGATACTAGTAAGACCAGCTCGAGTTGAGAAGAGTGTCATATTACAAAGCCTAGGCAGTTTTGTTTAGAACATGTTTCACCCAAGCAGCGTGATCCATGACTCAGCTTACCTTGTTTACAACAGAGGAAAGGTAATCCGTTTGCTACAAAGCATGCTACAGAAGCTAACGGATCAGAAAAGCAGTGTTATGTATCTCGGTCGGAGATTCTTTTCTGGACCAGCTACCAGCCAAGACCAGCCTGGTCTGCCCTACCATTAAGTTTGAAGTTTGCATTTCCTCTTCCTAGAAAAAGACTAGTATCCTCCTGAATGCGACCGTCTGCTAGCTGCTATTGACCTAGTTTGAAATGTTTGGTTAATTATAAGCCTGGAGAGCGCATTGCCGAGAATACTCACATGGGGTGAGATCTGGCGGATGACCCCGCTGCGACTGAGCTTTATCGTTCGTTCGGCGTACGATGTATTACCGTCCGGTGTTAACATGGTTAAATGGTCTGCGACCAACGATCCGACTTGCCCGTTGTGCAAATCGAAGCAAACTCTTGAGCACGTCCTGTCCGCGTGCAGGAAAGCTCTAGGTCAAGGCCGATACACCTGGCGCCACAACAAGGTACTAAAGGAGTTAGCAGCCGTTGTCGACCAGGCTAGAATGAGGGCTAATGCCAGAGCCAGTTCTAGTATCGCCCCCATTCGTTTCCTCAAGGCTGGGCAGGTTCCAATCGGTAAGGTCAACAAAAACGCATTCGCTCCATCTGTGCTAGACTCTGCGAGGGACTGGTTACTGGCGGTTGATCTGCCAGGCCATGAACGGTATCCCGAGTTGATCCGTAAAACCGGCCTGCGACCGGACATCGTTCTCCATTCTGCGCAAAAACGGCAACTCATCCTGATTGAGTTGACGGTCCCGTTTGAGTCGCGTATGGAGGAGAATCACTTGTACAAGCTCGAAAAGTACAGTGATTTAGCAGCCGGTTTGAGGAGAGACGAGGCGTACACGGTACGGGTATTTGCCGTCGAAGTGGGAGCGAGAGGCCTCGTTTCCACTTCGCTCTACAATGTGGTGAAAGAACTAGGATTGCGCGGTAATGAACGGAAACGAACACTTAAAAAACTGGGAGAGGCAGCCGAAAGGGCCTCTAGCTGGCTTTGGACGCAGCGCAACAACGTAGGGGACGGGCCTCGGTTAGCTGGTCCGGGTGTCTAGCGGAAAGGAGTTTCTCATCCCTTTGAAAGTCCATCGTGTACGAGTTGTCTGCCAGTGTCCCTCTGCCAACTGCTAATAAAAGTCCAACATGTGTCCGGTAAACCAAAGTAAGCTTGTCGCTCGGTCGTCCAGGCATGCGGACTGTTTTAATTACGCTGTCGCGGCGGCTTATCTCACAGTACCTCCTTCGAAACCACTAAGTCGTCTTGTCTCTGGCCGAAATAATAACACTATCCGGTAATTCTGTGCAGCGGGGAAGCAGCCCTGAGCTTCATGAACTCAGGTGGGCCCACCTCCGAATACGTTTAGGAATCGTGGGCCGAAACGTGTGTCGACGAGGATAATTTCTACTGATGACTGTAGATCCCCGCTGTACTTGCTCCCTGTGAGTTTATTCTTATCTTACTTAAGCGTTGAACATTCCACGTTAACAGAGGGCATGTGGTACCGACTACTGTCTGCGGTAGCTCGGTCATTCTGACCAAGACTTACAGAGTCCAACTTCATTGAACGAAAATAAACTCAAAACGTAAGGCAGACGATTCGACAACTACTCCCCTAGAAATCATTCATTGTGTCAGTAATTAAACTGGTAGACTGTCTAAAGTCTTTGTCTTCTTCGCCTTCATCGACTGTAATCTTGAGCGAAATGTTATGGCTGTTCGTCCACGTTGGACCTAGTTCCGCTCTAGAACTTGAGTTAATCAAGTAACAGAAAGTGTATTGATCGGCACTCATAAAAAGAAAGGGAGTGCCTAGTTGACCATGTTCTTAGTGCACTTGAATTCATGGCGAGGCGCAGACGCCGTCTGGAGGTGACAGGTTCAACTCCCGGCACGGTAATTATAGCTTACGAATTTTTATGTTGTCTAGTGTGTTCTTCTATCTATCTACTTCTTTCTATGAGTGCCGATCAATACATTTTCTGTTACTTGATTAATTGATAATATTTAACGGCCTCAAAGATCCCCCCTCTGTTTATTTATAGAACTTGAGTTGCAGAGAGAGGGGTGGAAAAAGGGGGGGGGGGGAGGCGGTTAGGCCGCATAGCCTGTACTATCGCCACGAACTGTTGAGATGTGGATTTTGATTGTTGCTCACCCCCCCCCCCCCCCGCCCACCACACAAAACAAAAATCTCCTATCCTTACAGAGGATCGAAGCCGGGTCTCCGGCAGGAGAGCCAGTGCACTTACCGCTGGGCCAACTGCAATCCTGCCTCATTAAGGGATTCATTCAGAACCTTGGCCACAGCCTCAGTCTACTATGCCAAACGTGGCTGCTGTGTCTACAAGTCAAAGTAATGTAAAGAACCCTTTTCCACCCCTTCAGGCGCATTGGGCATATAGTGCTAGACCTATATTTTATAGACCAATCGGCACTCGGTGGGTGAGTTGGCCACTTTTACTTCCCACACCTTTACCTGGTACACATTTAAAACTGGCTCGACCTGTCAGTCAAGATAAGATTTGAAGAAGAAGAAAAAAAAGTATGAATCGTGTGTTAGCATTTGAACCCACGGCCTTGGAATCTGCAGGCAAGCGTCTAGCCTTTATACCACTGTGGATCCCAGTGTCAAAAATGCCCTGGTACTATCCACTAGAGCGAGCCATACTAAAACGTTTCAACGGGTATATAGCGAGTGGAAGACCTCGGAAAAGATGGAGTGATGGCATTAAGAACAGCCTTACAGAAATGAACCTCAGTCCTAATAGTGCTCTTGACAGAGCTCATCAACGAACATTACAACTCCCCCCGACACTTCGATGAGTTGCAAGGTGGAAGAGAAGAAGAAGCAGAAGGATCCCAGTGTCTACAGGCGAACCACTAATTACGTTTTGTCCTTTGCTTGCAGTCACTGTTGACGTTACCAATAAGGAAGGCGATGTAACGCCAACTCAGCTGTGGGCGAGGAAGAAAGTATTATTATGCTTGTGGTTTCAGTTTGTTAAGAGTGAAAATTTTGCCGCAAGTTTCACACCTTCAGCACATACTTGTGTCTTTTTGTGTGGTGTGTGTGTGTGTGTGTGTGTGAAATGTTTATTCACGATCACTTGGTCTTCACCAGTTAATTTATATTGTTTGGTTAGTTCTGAATTACGTCTAGGTGTTTTCTCACATAACTCTGGGCATGTCTGTAGGTGTTGCCATCTCAAAGCGTGTGAGTCCGTGTGCAAATGTGGAAAAAAGGAAGCATTGCATGATCCGAGACCTTAGTGGAAGAAATTGTACATCCCCTTAAAGCCAAACTGTCCGAATAAAGTCTGTCTCTTCTAGTTGCCCAAGTCTAACGTCTGACCGATGAACCAGCCGTAAACTTGTCACTCTGGTCGTAAAGACAGTCGGCTAATTTGCTACCGCAGCAACAATGTGTAACACTAATCACAATACCAGCGCAACAGGAGAGTCCATGGCCTAGGATTCTTTATCCGGGAAGGCACACCCTCTGAATTTGCCTAGGACTTTGATGGGCCGAAACATTCGTCGACGAGGGATTTTTCTACTGATGTTTTGTGGACTCCTGCTGTGTACGCTCCCGCGGTGGATTGCTTCTTACTATCAATGCATTATCAAAGTTGCCAACAATCACTATTTCCTCATGTCTGCTTTTGTCAGTAATATGGGTTTCATACAAGAGGATCAAGAATTTGGCGAAATTAGTTTCTGGTTATAACTGTTAAAGTTATCACTCTTTTGTTGTGTTGATATTTTTATTTTGTATTTTATTCTCATACGACCGTATTTTTCTGTTCTGCTATTCTGTGAGCTCAATGACCAGATTCTATAATAATTTTATGCTAGCCTCAAGGGCGAGTAGAAATGTTAGCTGGCAGATCAAAGTTTGCCTACGATTGCTCTAGCTACTGCTCTAGCCATTGCGCTTCCCGCATGCCACGATCTGTTTGTCCCATGCATCAAATCTAACCCCGAACAGATTACAAAGCGAGGTAATTTCGCCTGGAGAAATAAATGGCATTTTGCTCCACGCTCCATTTTTTCTCCTGAGTCATTTATCTCGTCAGGTAGACTGACTAAATTAATATTGATCAAACGAAACGGGAGTAGCCATACCTCGTTT